ACAGCTGTTTCCATAAAACCAGGTAGATGGAGGCAGTGTCTACTAAAAGCCAGGCTAGTCTGAATAGCTCAGGCCAAAGAGTATAACTATCTCTTTCCCCTAAAAGTTCTTATTATTTGGGGGATCTTGGTAGAAAGGAAAAAATCACAATTTATATCTCTGCAGATTTTTTTTCTGTATGTATGGTTCCCTCTAATTATGATCTTTCATGAAATGTTTGTTATTTTAGGTTGAGTACAATGGCTCATGACTATCATTCCAGACACTTGGGAGGCTGAGATCAAGAGGGTTATGGTTTGAGGTCAGTCTTGGGCAAAACATTTAACAAGATTCCATGACTCCATTTCAACAAATAAATCAAGTGATAGTATTCACCTGTAGTTGCCAGCTCCACAGCAACCATGGATAGAAGGATTTTGGCCTGATGCTGGCCCCAGGAAAATATAGAAGACCTTATCTGAAAACTAACTAGTGCACAAGGTCTGGTCTAAGGGCATGGGCTGAAAAGGTCAAGTTCTTTAGTAGCAAGTATAAAAGGTCCTAGAGATCAAATCCCAGTACCGCCAAGATTCCTTGTCCTTTTTAAATCAAAAGAGTAGCTACAAAATGGGGAACTTTCATAAGATATGATTAATACATCTCTATATTTTCTGTCAGTTTCAATTGTGGTCAAATAGCAGGTGTTTCCAGGCAGTGAATAAGTAGTTTGCATTTTTAAAATTAACAAACACCACTAAGGGGAGAAGAAGGAGGAGGAGAAGAAGAAAAAAATAAAACACCATCCACAGCCCACCAGAGTACTGTTTACCAAAGATGAAGCAGCTCCTGGCGATGGTTTGCAAACACCACCAGACTAGCTAGTGTAAATTCCCTGCGTTTAGTCATCCCTCTTCAGCCTGTCATAGATACTGAAGGGAAATGCAGAAACAGGAAATTACAGACTATTTTAAACAGCATGTTTTATTAACCTCACTTGCTGATGCACTTTATGGCAGGATGCGAGATTCAAGTGTTCATAAGTTACATCTTTGCAAGTACTTTTCCTAAGTGAGTTCTACCAGCGAAAATGTGGCATGTACCCAGGGCTGGAAGCAATCTCTAAACTAGTAACTGTTTTACCCCAGGTCATGTAGCTATATCACATAAACCAGAGGTTTTAGCAGTGTGAAGAGAACATGCCTTGCTGATGTAACTCTAAACAACAAAGCCATCTTGTAGTAACTTAAAAAAACAACAACAGGCTTTAATGCATTTATTTTAAAGCACAGAATGAGAATAACAACAACCTTAAAAAGAATACTAGAAACTACACATTATGTCTTCTTCCTTAAAAAAAAAAAACATAGTGATTTTATTCTTCTTTTCATGGGTTAGCGCTGTATCTAGTTTAAACCAGACTGAATCCTTGTCTTTGAAAAGGCCTAGTAAAAATCGGCAGGGATGGGTGATAAGCTTAATTATAAATATAATGGCTCCAAATGTATGGGACTGTCATAAACATGGATGTGAACAATGAATTATTTCTTCATGTTTCCTGCTCTCAATGTTTGAGACATAAATGCCCGACTGTATAACATAGGAATCTTTGCGTTCCTGTCTAATAAATTCTGTGGGGTTAGTGTCTCTTCATGCTTATGTCTTCCACAAGTCCTGTGTGCTCTCCTCTGGACACACAGAAAGGCAGTCACCAAGTGCAGCTAGATTCAGGTTTGTAACTTGGAGAGTGGAAGCCATGCCTGATGGAGTTAGTGAGCTCTAAATATACTTTCATTCCTTTCGGCTTTTGTTTAACAAAATACCATGTAATGGTTCAGATTTCTATTGCCTTAAAAGATCACTCCAAAGATTAGTGATTATTCTAATTACTGATCTGCTGTCAGATAGTGACTTCTGCTAGTTTTAAATCTTTCTACTTTCCTCTCATAGATCCTGTCCTTAGAACTCTTTCAAGGTGAGGTATCAGAAAAGGATTAGCTGGGCAGTGGCTGGTGCTTCACACATGTAACTGTAGCTATTCAGGAAGCTGAGATCTGAGGATTGTGGTTCAAAGCCAACCTGCGCAGGAAGGTCCATATTTGGTCTGGTCATGGGGCCTGAACTCTGGTCTGGGCGCTGTTCCTCAACTCTTCAGCTCAAGGCTAGCGCTCTACCACTTGAGCCACAGTGCCACTTCTAGCTTTTTTCTTTTTGCTTATGTGGTGCTGAGGAATCCAACCCAGGGCCTCATGCATGCAAGGCAAGCGCTCTACCACTGAGCCACCTTCCCAGCCCCAGTCCATAAAATTTTTATCTCCAATTAGCCACCTGAAAACTGGAAGTGATGCTGTGGCTCAAAGTGGTACAGTGCGAGCCTTGAGTGCAAAAATGCAGAGACAGTACCCAGGCCCCAAGTTCAAGTCCCATGACAGACAGACCAAAAAAAAAAAAAATAGAATAGGGTTAGTTAGCTGCCAGTGGCTCATGCCTTTAATCTAGCTACTCAGGAGGTTGAGATCTGAGGAGGTCAGTCTGGGCAGTCTTCCCCAGCAGACTTATCTGACAGACTCTTATCTCTGATTAGCCAGCAAAAGCCCCAAGTGTTAGTATGGCTCAACTGGTACAGCCCAGCTTTGAGTAGAAAAAGCCAACTGAGAATGTAGAGACCCGAGTTCAAGTTCTAGTACCCACACCAAAAGAGAAAAAAAAAAAAACCCACAGGATTTTTAAGAGCTGAAGCATACGATATTGTTCTTTTAAAGTGCTTTTGCCAGACCACGTTGTTCAACTACCTACTTTCGGAAAGGAAGGACCAGAGACAAGAGACAAAGGCTTTGGTTAAGGACGTGCAACCACATAACCCAGGGGAAGGGCAGACAGAGGCAGCACAGGGTGGAGAGCACCCCAGCCTTTCCAAATCTGTCCTGGGCAATTCAGGTCATGAATTTATCTTACCGCAAAGGAATGTTGGCTCCTTGGGAAAAATCTAATTTCCTGTCACATGGGTAGAAATGGCAATGCCACCCAGGGGCCCTGGAGGTCTCAGGCTAGCACCAAGCAAATGTTGATCATTTGGGTGAATGTTTAGGGATTGTTTTGGTAAAGCAATTTCTTTTAGTATGCTGGAAATTCTGTGAAGAGAAAATAACTGGCAATAACAGATTTTTTATGCGGATGGATTCAAAAGTCTTAACTCAAGCTGTGAGAAACAATTCTAGAAGGTCTTATTGAGCAGAAGCATGAGCTTCTCTTTGGGAGGCTGAGACCAGCCTGATTTACAATGTAAGACCTTGATTCAATAAAACAGTACTTTTTTTAAAAAAGAGAAAATTAGCAACTCTATCATGTTCCTGCTTTGGCCATGAAGAATACATGAGATGCCCGGACCTCTTAAAAACAAAAGGATGAGTCATACTTTTTTCATATTTAAATCTCCATGTAGTTATCATGCTTATAGTAACAATGCTGCAGTTGACAAATGAATTATCCTCCAAGTAGCTTTCCTCTTTATCAAGTAAATTTTAGCTTCTGAGAATAAAGTTAGTATGGCATTATATGAGCTACTTCTAGTAATAATTGTAGCTGTTCTGTCCATTTATAGAGGGGCCATCTTCTTAACCAACAATACATTTCCTAAGGGACTTGTGAAGGGTTCAATACTTACAGCTTCATGCTACAAAAGGTTTTCAGAAACTTCCCCCACACAAACACCTTTACATTCTTTAAGATAGACCCTTATTTAATCATATCATTTAGGAGCATTGTGCTTCTTAAGCAACAAAAGACAAACCTACAATCTAAACGAAGACCATTTGGAAACACTGGCCTCTTGAAGAGTCTTATTTTGAAAATTCCTTTGTAGTCCCTATTTACTATCTTGTGGATATTTTGAATGTTTCCCATTCACCCTCACCCCGCCCCCCCCAGCAGAGACAGAATAATAGAAAAGAGAAATCTAGCTAAAATGAAATGTAAAAAAAAACCTTAATGAATTTTGATCATTTTAATAAATATATATCAAGAAAACCTCACTTTATTACAACACATTCATATACAGGCATCTATTGTCTAAATTTTCAACATCAAATGTTTATCAAATATTGAAAATAAAGGACAAAACATTACTAGACTATTTAGCTATAACACAAGAACATGTTTTAAAAATTGGTCCTTGCGGACAATTGTCCAAATGATCCTACTCATACACTGTATGAATGAGACCCATATTTAATATTAATAGCCATAATAAGAACAAAGCTTTATCTTGGAGAAACTGGGAGGTCTTACCTACTTCCTCCGTTTGGCATTTGGTTCCTGTGAAGTATTGTTACGGAGGCCCAAGTCAATTAGTGATCTTGGCAATGGGAATTAGTTTAGTGGAAGGAGTTGGCTGGAGTGAACGGAAGAAAGGTGGTCAGAGCCCTACTCTGACACTCTTTCAAAATGGAGGAGAATATTGGCCAAATACATACATAGAGTCACTATTCCACCCCAAGTCCCATTTCTCCAAAATAACTTTTCAAAAACTAAGCATCTTTACATTCTTTAAGATAAAACCTTATGGATCACCACATCATTTCTTAACATTGTGCTTCTTAATCAACAGCAAAAAGTCATATATAAAAAACCACATGCTTTTATAATCTAAACGAGTGAAATGATGCAAAAAACAGATTAAAGGATAATGCATGCCACGGGGTTCATGAACTTCATTGGACAAGAGAAAACAAAAGCAAAACAAAACAATCCCAAACCCAAAAAACCCAAACCCCAGCAACAGACCAGACTGTTACCACAGAAACTCTCAAGCAGCTAGTGCTGGATCCTAATAGCTCTCGCTCTATTGTCTCCTCTAAGCCCTCTTCCCAATGTCAAACCCAAAGCAACTGGGCATAAAAAAGAAAAGAAGAATAGAGATGTTGAATCAAAAGTCGAACACAATAGTTCAAAGTTAACAGTTTCCAAACCATACAGATCCACCCTGTGATTTTTTTGTTTGTGTGTATATATGTGTGTTTTTCTTTTCCTCTTTGTTAAATCCCTGCTGTAACTCTGATTTATCCTTAATTTTCACATTGGCAAAAATTAAGAGAAAGTAAGGCACCAAAAATCGCCCTGTATACCACCTCACTAAAAGCTTCATCACCCGTAAGCTACAGTGAAGTCAGGAATTCCTAGGGAATACCCCTCTCCAAGACTGTTGATTGCTCCCCTAAACAGGTGTTTCCTCATGTCTCATCCTACTTTCCTCTGTCAGAGAGACTGTCAGATACAAATACTTAATAGCGCTGCGAAGCCATTTCATCTAGCTCTCTGTCTTCAGTCTTTTATTTAGAAAAAAAAATACTGCATCATAATTGAAGAAGCAGACCATCTTTTGCTGGTTATCTTGATTTGCTTACCAAAGAATGACTTAATTAATTGGCAAATGTATTGAACTTTCTTATCTAATGACAGGCTTCTTGGGAGACAATGAAAAATATCACAAGGTCACATAAATCCCCCAATCTAGTCTACTGACTTTTTTGTTTTTGGTAAGAAAACTAAGATATACTTTTAAGCATTGCGTCAACTGTTTTCTTGGTAAAAAGAAAAAAAAATCACCACATTTCTAAGTAGCTCGCTGATGCCTACTACAGATGTTTTCTGCAATCTGTTCTCCAGGCATTAAAACGACATGGCATGTTCATGGCATAATTTCATCAGTTGTACAAAACTATAAAATCCATTCAAAATAAAATTTATGAGAGCTAATTGATCGTGCTGTGCATGCTTCAAAGTTTTGGCGAGAAGATGGCTCATATTTTATTTCCTTTGCTACAGCACAGCTTGTTACTTGACGAAGGCTCCTTTTTCCTTAAAGACTTTTTCCAAGACTCGCTCACATTGTTTTTTTCATTATATCCAGTCTCAAAGTAATCATAAAATTGGCCTTTGCATTCAAAATCAAGGTCATTTCCCACAGGTTCATGGCTGAGGGGGTCACCATCTCTGTTGGTCTCATGATTTGCTTTCTCATCATTTAATTTGGCCTTTTCCTGGACACCAAGTGACCTGACATTAGTGACAAAGATTTCATTGGCAGGTATCTGGCCATCACTCTTGTAAATAGGTGCACTGCCCACGTGGAAATCCACCTGGTGGGAACAGCTTGGCAAAGGCAGAGGGGGAGAGGAGGAAGAGGAAGATGAGGAGGAAGAGGAAGAGGAGGCAGCGGCGGAGGCACTTCCAACACTAGCATTTACAGAAAGAGGCAAATTTAGGTAGTGACCACCACATTCTTGGTAAAAGCAGCAGGCATGGAACTTTTCGCACTCCTCTTTGGCCATCCGTGGTCGTTTCCGGTAAGGACAGTCTTGAGCCATGAACCACTCTTGGGCGGAGGCGCCATTGAAAGAGCAGGCAGGGAAGCACCAGTTGTTCTGCATGAGGATCTCTCCATGGATCCTTTTCATCAGGTTGTTGATGAGGACAGATCTTCGGAGGTACACCTCAGGATCATCAATAAACTTGAGCTTTTCTAAGGACATATAAAGGATGTGGGCTCGCTCCTCAAAAATGGAGATCGTCTAAAAGTGAAAAAAAAAAAAAAGGAAGAGAAAGCTTAGGAGATGGACAACATCAAAATCTCACCACTTGTTAGGCGCCAGTGGCTCACATCTGTAATCCTAGCTACTTGGGAGGCTGAGATCTAAGGATTGCGGTTCAAAGCCAGCCTAGGGAAGGAAAGTTCGTGAGACTCTTAATCTCCAGTTACTCACCAGAAAATCAGAAGTGGAGCTATGGCTCAAAGTGATAGAGTGTTAGCCTTGAGCTGAATAGCTCAGGGACAGAGCCCAGGCCCTGAGTCCAAGCCTCATGACTGACTCCTCCCCTTCCCCCCACCCCGCCAAACAACCAACAAAAAACCCTCCAAACCCTCACCACTGTGTGTGTTATTCTTGGCCATGTCTGGCTCCTGTTGTTCCTCCTCTTTGTCCCCTTGTGGTCCGTTAAGGAGGCTGACTCCAGTATCAAGGATAATCCCCAACCTGTCCTGGCACAGTGGTGTGGTCAAGAACCAGAGAATTTTTTTTTGTCTTTTTCTTTTTTGATACTGGGGATCGAACCCAGGACGTTGCACTTGCTAGGCAAGCGCTTTGCCACTGAGCTACATCCCAGCCCAAGAACCAGACAATTTTCAAGTCATAGTGCTGTCAGTACTGGAACTTGAACTCAGGACCTGGGTGCTGTCCCTTAGCTTTTGTATTCAAGGGTAGTGCTTTACTACTTGTGGCACAGCTCCATTTCTGGCTTTTCTGGTGGTTAATTCAGGCTAAGAGTCTCACAGACCTTCTTGATTGGCTTTGAAATGCAATCCTTGGAGCTAGGCCTTCTGAGTAGCTAAGGATTACAGGCATGAGCCACCAGTGCCTAGCTTATTTATACTTTTTGTAGGGGCTGAGAAGCTGGCTCAGTGGTAGAGTGCTTGCCTCCCATGCATAAGGCCCTGGGTTTGATTCCTCAGCAAAAAAGCTGGAAGTGGCGCTATGACTCAAGTGGTAGCCTTGAGCTGAATTGCTGAGGGACAGTGCCCAGGCCCAGAGTTCAAGACCACATCGGACAAAAATAAATAAAAAATGAAGTGTGTGTAAGCAAATATACAAACATTGCAAAGCAATAAGTAAAAGATGCCAAGATGTAGGTCCTAATGCGAGCGCTTCCAAGTGTGGGCTAGCTTAATGGCTACAAGAGATTTAGCTTTCACTTCTTTCCTCTTAGTCCTCTGAGATTCATATGTGCAATTATTCTTGCTTAAGAAAAGGACAGCAATCATTAATGAGGCTTAGACCCAGACAGGATCTACCAGTTGAAGGACCAGAGAAGACTTCCTTTTGGAGCTGGGCAGGAGAAGGGACACAGAGAAGATTACGAGAGGACTCACTCCTGGGCTGTGTGATATCCACACTGGGGAATGGTTGTTGCAAACCCAGTAGCAACTAGAAAAAGGCTACAGCCACCACACAGCAGCCACAGGGCTGCTATGCGCACTCTCCCAAGTCATTAAAAACAACAACAACAACAACAATCATGGCATATCCTAAGGAGCTGTGAATTCAACCAGACCAGCCAAATGCAGGGACAGAAACTACACATGCAAGAAGCTCAGTACTTAGCAACACATGTTGGAATCTTTTTATGAGCAGGTACAAAAAATGCCATCTAAAGGGATGAGGATGGGGTTTGGGGGCAAGAGGACGCAAATAGGCAACACAGTCTGGAGAATATACCTTCCTTGATAAAAATCAGCAGGTTGAAGAAGCCTCCAAAAAAACCAGAACTAATATTTCAAAAGCTTACATGCTCAGTTCATAATCCCCTTAATTTACCCCATCATGTGTTTTCTTACTATATAGATCCTCAAAAAAAAGTGAGCTCTGGTCTCTTCTTGGGAATGAATTCAGTTTCAACAAACCAAGCTCATGGAATGATGTACAATGAAGTACATGCTATACTGAACACACTCCATCAAGGAATGGTGAGCCTACCACTAACGGGTAAGGACAAGCCATGGGTGGCTGCCCCAATCAGGCACACACAGAAGTAGTCGTGAGAGCTCAGACTGGAGAGAGAATGGAAGAAGAGAACAAGAGCATTTCTTACATGTGAATGTGTAGGGTAACCAGAGCCCTCCATGCAACTTGAAAAAAATTAAATCGTAAGTACAAAAGACCTTCACTGCACTCTATAATTTTGTTATTTCTGGGGAGAGGATCTCTTTTGGACTCTCTCTTCAAGTACTCATGAAAAATAATACAGGATGGAAAAAAAAAAGTGACAACCATTCATATGGCCCTCCAGAGAAGTGGTTCATTTTCATTGCTTGGGTGGAACAATTTAATTTCTGGAAATGGATCAAGCAACTGTTACTAAATAGTTTAAACTCTTAATAAAAATAATGACTTAAAAAAAACATACTTTATGGCTACAGCTGCTGAGTGGTGGGTGGAAATCCTCTTCCTCCACATATTTCCTCTTAAAGTATGAGATCTTGGATGTTGTTAAAGGATTTGAAATTCCCCTGTAATGGGATCCTGTGGTAATAAATCAGATATGACAAATGACATGCGGTTTGCCAGAGGTTCTCCAAACAAAATACTTTCATTTCCTTTCCTTCTAGAAGATAGTTGGCTCTCTCTTTGTCTGTACATGTGCTGATTAAAAATAAACATTTCTCTTTAATAGTTGCTATCACATGGAATTCTGTGAGCTAGGGCAGGCAAGACTTCTAGGCGATTTATTGGAAAAATGACATCATTCTGCATTTACTTAAATAACCAGACTCTTTAATTCTATGCACATGCAAACTTCAGAAAGGAGAAGAGTGGAGTAACTGTGAAATAATATCAGTCTTCTGAATTGTTTCATTAATTAAAACACTTAACGCCACTGTTTAAATATATACATCTTTATCTAGAACCACTGGTAATCAAACCACTTTCTGTGTTATTGGCTCTAGCTTAGTAAACAAATGGTTATCTGCACACTGGAGTTATGACATTTCTTCTTTTAAAATACAAATTTAAATATTTAAAATTTAAATTTGGGGGTAATTAAACTCCTTTTCACTCTTGAAAATGGAACATGTCAACCATGATGTTTTTTTTTTTAGACGCAAATCGCTCTTAATCCTTTTTTTTTTTTTTTGGCAAAACAGAGTTCCCTGAATCTTGCTTGATATTTTAGTTTTTTAAAAGAAAAAAAATATATCAATCAAAGCCAATTGTCTTCATAAAGAGAAGAGACACCTGGCTGTAACCTCTGTGCCGATCATTTCATGTGATCATCTTGGGATAAAGATTTCATTGTGAGCACAAGAGGCCTGTGTAGCTCAGAAAACCACATCGTTCCCCAGGATAAAATACCAGAATCCACACTCTTGACTTTCAATACTTGGATTGGCTCTGTTCAAAACACAGCCCCATGATTCTCAGGCAAGCCGAAGCCCTGGGAGCTGCAGGTTGGAATGTAATTTAAATACCACTTCTGGTCCTCTCCCAGGAGCCAGGGCTGGCTTAGGATGACTGTACAGACAGCCCTGAAGCATTAATAGCTCTCGGCTCAGAGAGGCGCTTGAAATACCACCTCCCCACCAGTGTGGCCACAGAGAGCAGTAGGGTCAAGAGCGCTACCTGCCAGTGGGGGGCCGGCTCCCCGATCTCCCTGCAAAGGAGCCTGTGCTGGCCCTGGGGGGCTGGGGCCTCGGTAGCTGTCAGCTTCCCATAGTGTTTGGTACCCGGTAATTTCGGCAGCTCCTTCCGAGACAATGGGCTCGCAGAATCTATTCATGGACAGAACCAGAGTCATCTCTGACAGCCTCAGATCTGTGGGAATAAAAAAAAAGAAAGGGAAAACAGCCCTGATCAAGAGCCAGCCAGGGGTTGACCTTGACATTTTCATCTCTTTGGCTTCGGGAAACTTTTACTTCCAGGTCTTCCCCTTCATCCCCAACCATCAGATTCCCTAACTCCCCAGCGACACCCCCCCCCCCACAAGAAAACCTGAGCAAACTCTTGCTGCTATTAGCTCAGCCTCTGTGTTCAGCAGTCTGCATTTCAGAGGCGGATCTTTAAAACCCCACTCCTTATTGTTCTCACATTCCCCTCAGCCCTCTTCCAGACAGCTGCTTTGCCTTCTAAACACATTTTCCTCCTGACCTTCCCAGCAGAAAATGTACCACTAAAAGGCAGGGCCAAAACCCTTGCTCTTCTTTTCTATTAATAAGGCAAAATCAATTTTCTACTCAATCCCCTGGGAGTCTCCTTTGATGAAATCTGCTAATCAATCAAGGCAAAAGCGTGGGGGAGGCAGAAATCTCCACCTTAATCCCAACTGATGCTCTGGGGTTCAGGTTCAGTCTGTGCCGCTGTCCCTGTCTCCTCTACAACACGCTGGGGGCTCCCTCCACTTTCTCCTCCCAGAGGGAAGCAGACAGAGAGACACTTGGTAGTTGTTTCCACCAGCCCTGATCGGCCTGAACTGGATCTGCCTCCAGTCAAAACACTGCTAGATGAAGACAGAAAATTGGCTCCAGTTTCCAGCCGTGAGTTGCAGTCCCACAGGAGCCAAGCACAACATCAACCGAGCAGGCAGAATATTAAACAGGAGCCAGGGCTCTGGGGCCAGAGGCAGCCAGAAACTCTTTAAACTGCAAAGCCCAGACGCAGGCAGGAACTTTCCAAGAGGCCACACATCACTGCCCTTCTCTCCAGTTCACGCCCTTCCCCTTGGGTCTGCAGGGAGATGAGGTGTCTCTACAGTCATGCTGCCGGCCCTGCTCCCCCTTAGGTGATGGAAGACACTGCCAGAAGGGCTGTTTTCAGTTGGTCCTTCATGAGGTTCAAGGTAGGGCCAAGGGCAAGTGCAAGGGAGAAGAGTCTGCTTATCAAAGCTTTAAAAAGACAAGCCTGGCACTGCTGGCTCACTCCCAATTCAGAAGGCTGAGATCTGAGGGTCACAGTTGAAGCCAACCAGGACAGGAAAGTCAATGAAACTCTTATCTCCAATTAACCACCAAAAAGACTTAAGTGGAGGTATGGCTTGAGTGGAAAAATATCAAGTCTTGGGTAAAAAAAAGCTCAAGGACAGCAGTCAAGCCCAGGCAGACAGAAAGACAGACGACAGACACACACAATAAATAAGCAAAAAGACCCACAGACCAGGGGTGACAGCTGATCAAACACAGTGCCTTGCTAATGGCCAATTCCTTTAGGAGACCCACGTCTCTACTCTCACTTTGCGGTTTGAAGAACTGTTGCAAAGGTGATGCCAGGCTTGCTTTCTGAAGATTGTCAAACATACACTTGAGTCTAGTTGGCTCTTTCTTTTCCAAATTACATAGCTTGTAATGTTATGGAGAACGGATGACTCTGTCATTGTCTTGGAGTAAACTATTATTCTTTACCAGCTATTGCCAGGGTCCACTTCCAAGTAAAAGGAGGAAAAACATCAGGATAACAAGGAATGGCCTCGTTAAAGAGATAAAGTCCTTCTGACAGAGCAGCTCTTGGCAGCAAAGGCCCCTTCATTAGGCTTCTCTCTGCCCTCTCAGCTTCAGTCCCAATGCCACTGAAGACAGGGAAGGACTCCAGGTCAGTGGGTAGAATGAGGATCTAGTTGATGTGGGCTACTAAACCTAACATCCCTTTTCTTTTAAGATGCCCTCCAAAGAGACATCAGATAACCATATTGTAAGTGGGGGAGGGGAGGAGGAGTGTTTTAGCTAATTCTTATCAGGAAATATGAGATATGCCATTTCTTTTTCTCTTTGAGTCTTCAAAAAAAATTCACTTGCATTGATTCGACAAACTCAGCCATTCTGTCTAGCATCCTTCAAATTCTGTATCCAAGCGAAGTATCAGAGCTCATGATACTTTATTCCACGAAGACTCTTAGGAAATGGTCCAATCTTTCAACCTATTCTAAGAGACAATCATATCAGGAAATGCTATTGCTAAGAGCAAATCATAGCTTTTTTTTAAAATTAGAAACCAGAAGTTCTTTGATAGAGGACAACAGTATTTCCCAGCTGTAAATTTACAACTCACTTTGATGGTGAATTCTGTGAAGCTCCAAGCCTTTTTTAAAATGTCATTGTATGTGAAGACAGGTAGACAAAGCCATGACCCTTAAAAGAAAGGTATTTTCAGGTCTCCAGTCACAATTACCTTTGCTTAATAGGACGGTAATGAGGCCTGTGCTGTTTTATGTTAGTCAGTTTGTTTATATTTTAATGACTTGGGGGGGGTGGCCTTGCTGGTTGTTAAGAATTCCAGTGTTTCTATTTGTTAGTATTGTTTTTAGCATATAAAATACCACCATTATGCATTTGAACTTGAAAGGTGGCCTAATAGTTTTTATATTGGTTGTTTCTTTGGTTTACAACATCTAATTTCAGTAAGTTCTTACACACACACCTTCTTTCTTTTTTGAATCGGAAACTACTTTCCCTAAAAGAGAAAGGCTGAGTTCTGCAAGTGATTTATGTAAGCCTGAATAAAACATGAATGAACTAGGATTATTTGGGAGCGAAAGGAGGAGATTTTGCAACTGAGTCTTCCTAGTCTATCTGAATTACTCTGGGATATTAATAAACGAAGAAGGCAAGTTTAATGTTGAAGAAACATTGAACTGTACAGCACTAGGCACTCAACGTTTAATGCACATCTTTATTTGTAGTCTATGTAGGGAGCTAAACTCACTATTCTCTGCATGTGATTTACATTACAATCCTGCTATGGTATTCAGAAACTCAAGTCTACAAATTTACATGCTGTTAATATTAAATATAGCCACTATATATACATATGTGTGTGTGCGTGCTTTTTCCCTTAGCATCAGAAGTGTGTGAATTCAAAAGGAGCTGATAGTGTGTTTTGTCTGCATATTGGTCAAAATAAGGAAGTCCTAACCTACTCTGCTCTGGCTCCTGTGTCTTTTGTCATGCAAGTGGATAATAGTAGCAAGACTGACTCAAGGGTCCTCAGCAGGCTGAAGGCTGGACATCAAGGCATTTATCTCTATACAATTTGGTTTTTGCATATGAGTTGGGCTTGCTCTTCCCATGGAGCCATTATGATGTTAATAGTTGCGGTTGACACCAGGCAAACATTCAGTAGCACCTTCACTTTAGCTCCTGGTCATGGTTTTAACGGGCCTCCTCCTACTTGTCACCGGCAATTAGAGAACATCTTTAGAGCATTAGAGCAGTCAGAGAAAAGATTCCGAGCCTGGAAAGCAGGTAATTCAAAGGCTGGCATTTCCAGAGCAGCTCAGGTGCACTGGACTGTCCCACCCAGGTGGACGTAAGCCCCTGTCCTCGACGTTGTCCCCACAAGCTCTCAACAACTTGTCTGCTGGTGGTGGCAGAAGGGATCAGATGATCAGGACAAAATCTCCCAACCCTTCTAAAGAGGCAGGTGTGGCTTTTGTGCAGGTCTCTGTAGCCCTCCTGCCTGCCTGGATCCTCCACTGTGGAGTCTCACAGCCAAGAGCCTTTGGCTGGGTCTCAAGAGCGGGGAATGGAGGTTGTGGCCCAGAATGAGAGCCCTGGTGCTGGCTGTCTCCAGACCAGGTCGGCGGGAAGTGGGGGGGGGGGAGAGGGGAGGCTATGGGGAGTCTGAGGGGCCAATCTGGCCAGCGGGTGGCACCCACCGAGTCGCCCTGGACAGACCCTAGGGGGGGCTCACTCCACAGCCCAAGCCCCTTTTCCTGGAAGTGGGCAGTGCCGGTCTGGGCTTGTGGCTGCAGGAGAAAGTAAACAACCCAAGTGTCTGGGAACAAAGGCAAGTTGTATTCCAAGGTGCCAGAGCCCAGTACCTCTCCTGCAGAATTAAGTGCTATCATTATTCTTTCTGGCTCCTTCCTTTCTTCTTCTTCGCTCTTCCTTTTATATATACATAAAAAAATTAAACCAAGTTTCCTTCTAAGGGAAATAAACACACCAAAGGTAGGATTCCAAGGGAATGACTCAGGACGGTTGGCAAGGCTGGCGATGCTGGCCGGGACT